CAGTCAATAATTTAATCCGTCAGTCGCAACCTATTCGCTAACTGTTCTCACCTTGATAAGCCTTCTGGAGACGTTTTTATTGTCGGGCAAGACACCATTGACAATGAAGACGTCGAATCCTCTCTTTTCTCTTACAAAAATCATCAACGAAGTCAAATCGAAGTTTTCTACTCGCCATTTGTCGTCCCCATCCACCATGGGCCACACACCGTAACTCTGCAAAAAATCTCTGAGCCAAGAACCCGTCGGTGAAAGTATTAGAAAACACACCTTAATAGCCTGCAGCAGCCTATTGAGCTCGATCATGATTAGGTCCTTTTTCGTTCATACATTTGTGGTACATAGACTTAAGGGCGTTCATGGATTTGGAAGCGAACGTTTCTGGCGACTCGAGTGCATCTGAATGTGGCTGCGGATAGCTGAGTGCTACAAACCCTTTGAGTGATAAAGCTTACATTACTGGCTTTAGATTAAATTTAGAATCCTCTACCGAACAGCTGCTATTTTTTGAAACCTCAAGCGCTATAGTCATAATATCAGAGGATCCAGTATGTTGGCACCACCTTTCATCTGCTCCAGAACTTTTTCTCGGACTACATCCAATCGTGTATACCATTCCTTATCATCAGGAATCGGATGAGCGGCGATCCATTTGCCACAAGTGAACTCGAAAAAATCCTCGCATGGATCAACCTGAACTTCTCTGTTACAGTAATTTTTTGTCAATCATATAATAGTAGTCCGTATTTTCTTGTAGTGTCACTGGGAACTGCCCCTGCTAGCTGAGCTAGTTACGGACATTCGAAAGTAGGTGGCAGGCCTTCGTGGTGGGGCAGCCCACGAAACCCATGCCACATCATTCATGTTGAAGATGCGATGCGATTCCGAAATAATGCTACTCGGGAGCCGACGCGCACAAGGTTTGGCGAGTGCGGAAAATATGCGAGAGTCTTCAATGTGGGGGCGGCACAAGGGAAGGGGTAGCAACAAAGCTAAACGTTTGCAGCACAGCGTGGAATGTCCGTATTACAACGGTCAGGTTGGGACCTTGACAAGGCGCTGAGCGGTGGCCTACGAGCAAAGAAAATGGAGCTCGCCAGGGATGAAGATGAAAGTTTTGCACTGGACGGTAAGCGTCCGAAGTGACGATCAGTGCAAGAGATTAGGTGTAGCACTTGTAAGTAGATATTTTTGCCTTTTTCTGGTACGGTCATGTTTGCGTGCGAATTCTGACACCGTCTGCAATACTGCTTTCGTGCTCGAGGTGCCCATAAACGAGGAGCGCTAAATAGCGTTGGCTAGACGCATCGCTTGCGGACTTGAAGATAGTTGGCACCCTCCCCGACCAGGCGCTTATTCGGGAAAAACAGCGTCAAAGAGTGAGAAGAGTTGACCTCATCGGTAAACGCATAAAACTGTGAGAAAAAATCTCAATTCACTCAGCATGAGATTATCATTATATCAAGCACGGCCATCCCTATTCTCGAAGAGGGCGTTTCGAACAGGTCGTCATCCCAGTGAAGCGTAAGGTGACATTGAAGACGATTCTCAACGGTCAAATACAAATTGCTTGAGCGCACCTGAACAGCTTGAGCACACCTCGCCAGGGAAGGTCAACAGGTCGCCATGGCCATTCAAGATGAGATGCATATCGACGTGTACGTCTCGGGACGCTGAACTCAAATCTGTTTCCAAAATTTGCCGAACGATTCTCTATGAGGAGTTAGGGGCAGGGCACGCCATCGTGTTGTGTTCATTTTCTGAAAATTACGACTCCCCTCTCCCAATTCCATACTAAAATACGACCCCCCCTCCCAAGAATTTTCCATCGAGCG